CCCCCCCCACCCACACACATAAACTTGCGGGTGCGTGTGGACACGCGACTAACAAAAAAAGGACAAAAAACATATGACAGATTGTACCAGCATACACTCTGTAAACATGACACACCCTGTACACTCTCCAACGACAATCTCAAACACACACACACACACATACAGTGCAAACACGCACACACATGCCAAAAACGTTTGTTTTGAAGTATCCAGACTTAATTTACATGGAAGCAGACTGCATGGCAACAAGAGCTGTTTCTAATATTTTCGAGACCTGATTTGGGATAGCGCCAATATATTGCAGAGAACGTGTGTGTGTGTGTGTGTTTGTGTGTGTGTGTGTGTGCGTGCGTGTGGTGGGGGCAGGGGATTACGTGATGTTGTCTACAACTCGTTTGAATAAAAAGTTCAACAAATTCCTTTAGAATATGTAATTTCATGAAAGAAAACATGTTCAATGTGGGCCATTTAACTATTTTGTATTTTCTACAAGATAAATGAAGAACAATACAAGTGAATACACACAATTCTGAAGAAGCGTGTGTCATTTATATGAATTTGATGATAGCATCTGAATTTGCTGCTTCTTGTATTTTGTTCACCTGACAAGTGGGACAAAATATGAGGGGCAAAATATGAGCGACGGCTCTCAATAGGACGACACGTAGGACCGAGCGACCGCCACACTACGAATAAACACATTGAAAAAGTGAAATGTTTCTAAGGAATCTGTGGCGGCGGCCAGCCGCAAGAGTACTCGCCCGACGGCCCAATCAGCATCCGGCGCCTGCGGCACTTACAAGAGACCTGGCCGCCCTCCGCCCTCAAAGCTTTCGGTCATCCTCAACAGCCTTGACCTGAGGTGTGAGACCCCAGCGGGGCCTCGTGTGCTCACAATGAGGAGGGGGCCGAGGGGCGGAGGAGCTGCGGGAGGAAGTGCTGGCTAAAGTGATGCTTGGACCCACACCGGTAAAAAGAGAGAAAAAAAAAAATCAAGTGCACTAATTGACAGAGTCGAGAGGAGCAAAAAGGAAAAAAAAAGTGGGGTTTTGTTTGTTTTGAAGGACAAGATGATGTGTTTTTAGGAGGCACCTGCCGGACCAAAGTATTGGGAGGGCGACAGGAAGTGGAAAGCAGAAGAAAGGTGACCTTTTCTGATCTAGTCCATTACCAACTTTTTTTGTTTGAGCTAAAAACGATGTTTTTTTTTGTTTTAGTCTATAAGGACCAAGACCGGCAGACTCACGGTCATCAAAGTCGGAGCAGACGCGAGCGTTAGCGGGGATGCACTGGGAGGGCTCCTGCATCTTGGAGAGCATGGTGAGGACTTTGTTCTTGCTGGCCTCCGCACTCCAGTCCCACATCCGGCTCCTCTCCTTCATGTGTCATCGTTTGGTCCTGAAGACCCGCAAGTCTGACGTCGGAACCTGGATGTGCAAAACATGTGAGAAAATGCGACTTGTCATATCCAGGATGTTAAGATTCTGTGATCATGTATCACATTTTCATTGACAGGTTTACATTCCTACCAATTTCCTCAACCGATTCAAGCCATCTCAATTCCAGACCCTTCGGCTTTTCAATTGAATATCTCCACATTTTTTTTTTACAACACCGTTAATTGCCCCGCATTTCAGTTTCGGATCAGCTCTTCCAACATTCACACACCCTTGAGCGCAGCACGCAGCTCCCCTCGAGAAGTGTCCGGAAACAAGCGTCCATTTTGTCACCCGGCAGCCAATTAAGAGTACCCTTAAGTGTGCACACAAAGCGCGCGCGCGCACTCGTGACACATGCAAAACATTTTAGCATTCAAGAAGAACATCCGTCAAGAAAGCCAGACGGTCTCGGGCTTGGCCGCCTCGATTGATGGCGCCGTGACTCCTTTGGCGGCAACGGCGGTCATCCGGCACGCTGCACACAATCACGTCCAGTCAGCGAGGACGACAGGAAGGTCGGGATGAGGAATATCATCAGTACGCCACATCAAGCAAACGTCGCACATGATGCATGGGGACCATGCAAACCTTGGGGGGGGGGCAGGGGGGGCTTGCCTTGTCCAACATGATGCTGGAAACAAAGCGACTCGAGAAACAATGCCACCAAACTGGCAACTTACTGGTAACGTATGAGCTGTTCTCCAGGAGAAGCAGCAACTGGGACCGGCAGGAGAATCTCTGAAGGCTCCCAAAATGTCATCTCACCTGCAGGGGCAGTTCAACTACGACAGAACTGAAGAACTCCACTCACTCCTTTCTCCGAGTTCTCATCAGAACCCGGCAGCAGCACTTTGAACCCGCTGCAAGGTCTTTACAGGCTCTGGTTAAATAAAATCTCATCTCTCAAAAAGAACCGACAGGTGTTTAGGAAGAAACAGTGCAACTCACTAGTTTTCACTTTTGATTTCTTTATTTTTGCTTCTGGGGGGGAGCTCAGGAAGCAGCGTTTTGTGACCAGCTGGAAAGTTATCCAAAATGTCATCTTGAACAAATCACTGACTCAATTTTAGTCCCAACCACCTGCAGCGGGGCAGGTTGCCATGACAAGCGCTCCATGTGAAGGCGGCAGATAGCCACCAAATCCCCTCCCAGAGGACAAAAGCGTCTCGGACGCGAGGACCAGGCCGGGACGAGGCGCTCCGACTTGTCTCTCTTTCTTTGCGTGTTTGGCAAAAGGATGAGCAGCGGTGGGACAATCGGCGGGGGCTCAAGCTATTCGACCGATTGCCACCCACAGAACTCCACCTCCAAGAATGCGCAAGCGATTATTCACGCAAGCACGTCCGCCTCTCAATCAGGCCCGACAAGTGCCAATCAAAGGCGGTGGCAGCCCAGCGCAGCGGGCGGGGCTTCAACAGCCACGAGAGGATTTTGAGCCCAAGACAATGGCGACACGGCCAGTGTGTGGTCCTCACGCTTAGGCCGCTAATCGGCCGTGTCAGATTAATGCTCTTTTTTTTTTTGGGGCCGGCCGCACGTCGCCGCGATAACGTCTTGGCTAGCAGCTGAATGCTAACCGGCGGGGGTTTTAGGGAGCGCTCGGGGATTAGTCCACCTATGAATTCCCGATGAGCTCAAAGGTCGTATTGCGACCGTCACAGCTGGCTTGCCGCAAAGACGGAGCCCAAGAATCGGCCGAGTGGAAAATCAAGCACTTTGTTACGCAGATGACAATTTGGACCAAGTAACGGAGTCGCCACGCCGCCGTCTGTGATCTCTTCTCAGAGCGTTCATCGGAATAGGGAAAAAGCATTTCACACAAGCTCTGGTTCCTCGTCAGAAGCATTTGGGGGGCCAACTGTTGAGTTTTTAGAAGATTTGGTCACCCAGAATCTGATCTCTAATACATAACTGAGATGATTTGTTTCATTTGTTTTAAGCAAGCTGGCGCTGGAGAAATAATATCTGTTCTCCTGATTGCAGTCAGAACTCGGGCAGCCTCGCCGCACCGATTTTTGGAGTATTTTCAGAAACGATCGGTGGTGGAAGAGGAAACTCCTTGCCGAAGAAGGCGGGGGAAAACAGATGGGCCAGCGTCGGCGGCGCTCCTGACCTTTTTCCGCGTCACGTAAACAGGTGAAGACGATATACGGCGGTGGGATTAGGCCGGCTTAGGTGTACCGGAGGAGAGCGCCGGGCCGACTAGCGCGGGGGACGAGCCCGCCCACCGGTAGCGAGGAGACCAACGAGCGGATCACACGCTCAAGCACCAGAACGACTGGCCTTGCTTGATTCACTTGCGACGTGCGCGTGCTGTACGCAAAAGACCGAAAGCGCTACGCTACCTTGTTCGGGCCAGGACCCGGATGACCAACTGTCACGTGATGGACTTGGCTTCATGTGGCAAGATGAAGGAGATCCGCAACCTCCCATGGACCAGTCCTGGAAGGATGCACACATCAAGTCGTGATAATTCATATGGCGTATTGATTTCGAGCGGCTCCGTTGATTTGTGTCAGTTTTCATGACTGGTGAAATGAGCCATGGCAGTTGAACACAACTACGATGTCCAGGTTCTGATGGGAGCTGAGCGTGGCGGTAGGGTCACTCACCGACTCGTCACCTTCCGGGACCTTCCACGAAGACTCAGGAGACCCCATTGGACCTGATGGGGGCAACAGCGTGAAAGCAGCTCAGATCACAGGAAGTCATTTGTGTGAGGTCATGTCAGGCAGGCAGGTGAGTGTGTATTATGCTTGTGTGTACACAAACGCTTGCCTCGCACGCACGCTTATCTTTTGTAATGGAGTGTGTGCACAGATATGAGTAAGGCAGCACACTGGACTGATGTCGTGTGTAATCTGTGAGCAAATAGCGTCCATCAAAGTGAGCACCTGTCTGCGGGAGCGTGCCAGGTGCAAACATTGTTCTTCGGATGGATGGCGCGGGGGTGGGGGCAAGCTCATTATCAACATTCATACAAATAGGAGAAGTCGTCTCTGAGGTGCGCATCGTGCCATTTCGTCACCCAAGACGAGGGGAACACCTCAACATGGATTCCCTCTTTGAAACCATCCATCCATGATTTCAAACGACTGACAAAACGTCGCGAGGCATGCTGGGAAGTTAGTCGCTAGGCATCTCGTACGTCGAGCAAAACGTGGCTCCACAGCCGCACGTGGCTCTGTCGTCCATCCGCTGTGGCCCACCGTGACTTTGGTGCTCCTCTAACCTTTAGAGAAAACGTCTATTATTTCGGGGGTAGATGAAAATATAGGTCACAATGCGGCAAGATTTATTGAGCCGTTTGAACCACCCGCTATGCAGAGCGAGGACACAGCCAAGAAAAAATTGTCAAGAAAACAGTCATAACTCTGAAACAATGATGCTATTTGATAGCACATCTATGGCGTTTTGTGTGACATCTTGGTGATAGGCTAACGGCTCACTGTAAGACAAAGAGCTATGTGGCTGCTTTCTAGATGCAATTCTCTTGATGTTCAGTTTAGTTTGACAGCAAAGGACTTTCTCCTGACTCCGGATTGGCTCCCGTTCAGGCTTGTCGCGCCACCCGTTGCTTCGGAACGCACGCTGAACCCCGCCGAGTGCCTGTTTTTTTTTTTTACAACCTCATAAACGAGTTTATCCAGCGGTCGCGCGACGGGCCTATCTGCGTCGGACTTTCCGGGGTTAATGATCGACACCAGCGGTTTGATCTTTATGAATTTGTGACATGAATATCGGGGGAAGCAGTTAAGCCTGGGGGTAGGGGGGGCGTCACATTTGAGACGCTTGCTGCCAATAAAGCCAACGCATCCTTGCCACCCAAGAGCACGCACGCACGCACCTGCCTGCTTATCACACCATCTCTCTCAAACTGTCGAAAAAGTGGCACGTCTGGCTGAGATTGATGCTAATGACTGCAAAATGGGTCTTTGGGCGCAGCAATCATATTTTCATAAACAAATACAAGCAGACTTTGAAGGGGAGAATGTTTGTACTTTGGCGTCAGCTTCGGGTGTTTATTTGCATAATCGTCAATAACTGAAAAATCAATCATGAGACTGGCCACTAATAGCAAACTGTTAATAGGAACTAAAACTGAACGATAATTTGGGAATACAACAGAACATTAATTTATCGTATAAGTTACCGTTATCGAAAAAGTCTGAAATAAATGAAATAGAATGGCATGTGAAATATAAAATAAGTACATATACTAAAACATATACATATACATTTATATAATTATATTCAATAATTTATGAATTAAGGAGGCGGGGTGGGGGTCCCCTCAAAATATTAAGGAAACTATTCCGACACCTTCTGAGGTCACCATGACATCTTGGTTCCACACACCGGGGAGGAAGTGGTCGCCCCGGTCGGCCGCCACCGTGTGGAGTGCGCTCTCCGTTGCAGCGGCAGGAGCCGCACGCGCGACAGCGAGCCCAGATTCCCCAACTGGCAACCCACCGTCAACGCCGTCAGCCCTGCATACAACGATGCTTCCCAAACACACGCAACAAAATGCACAAGCAGAAATACATCTGTTTAGTTTCGTCATGATAAAACAAAGAAACAAAAGACACATTCTATTTTATCATGATGTTTCAAACCATTTTTTACCGGTAGCTCATGAAGCACTTTTTTCACGATCTAGAAACCAACGTTCATTTCTGGCCTTGGAATGAACTCAAATGGGAAACTATGCGCGTGTGCACGCACGCACGCAGCGGTCACGCCCAATTAAAAGTGGATCAGTGACAGTGTGGCTGAGCGCCAATGCAAATCTCTTCCGACCCACGTTGAATGGGTGCGGAGGTGGAATTCCACACAGTCACAAACACCCTCACAGTCTCACTCGCGACACACATACACGCACACACCTCTAGACACAGGAGTGTGCGGGAAGGGAAGGCCCCCCGGAGAGAAAGTCCCAGAGATCATTTGTGATGTGGCCATGGCAAAAGCTTTGTGGACTTTGGGAGAGGAAATCCCGGGATAACGGACGGCCACACTTGCGGCCGCTTCTTCATTAGCCAAAAAGTGGCCAAATAGAGGACACTTGTGAGGGCACAGCCGCCCCCGTCCACCACTAAATGCTAATCTGGGGTATGCATTTTGGGGGGGGGGGGGGCGCCCTCCTGCATTGATTGTATCACCCTAAGGTTGCTGTGGCAGCAGCCCACCCTGATCCTTCCACAGCCTGGGGGTCAAAGGTCAGGGGGTTCAGACAGAGGTTGGGACAAGCAAGCAGGTTAAACACCTTGTAGGGGATTAGCCAGAAGGGAAGTCTTCATTTGGACGGACACACGGACACACACACACACTTTTGAGTGGCTTTGCGTGCTTTGGGCGGACACGGCGAGTTGCCCAGATGATGAAGGGAAGTGCGGCTAATTGAGACATTAGCTGAATGGGGTGGAATGGAATAAAAATTGCGTCGGTCCACGATGTCATCATTGTGGAGTTCCGACTGCACCCATTTGATGAGCACCAAAAAAATGTGACAGTGCTTCAGTCCCACCCATACATACATAAATATTGTGGGGGTGACAGAACAAAACGGGTAAAAAGTGCAAAATGTAGGAAAACAGTGAGTAAGAAGCGATTACTTTGTTGTCCAGTATATTACTTTATTTCCCTCAAAATTCTGCAAGCGGTTTAGATTAATAGTTTTAGATATGTTAGAAAAAAACACCAAAAATAGACTTTTATTGGTGGTGGAGCGATGGCTGTTTGAAAGTGCTCTATCAATACAGTTGAGTATTTTGCATACCTTGGCAAGGCGAATCTGCGCTCACCGTCGAGTCGGACGCTCGGCCCAGCGACGAGAAAGGCGAAGGTGACGAGGGCGTGATGGTGTCCGCTTCGAGTGAATGCCGCAGAGTTCTGTGTGTGAATCCGGCGACGCCGCTGTCGAGCGGCAGCACCCTGCAACTGCCACAATTAGCTCCCATCTGTTTTGTAAATGTCAAGCAGAGATGAACACTCTGCTTTAGAGAGTAAAAAAGTAATATTGTGTTTGTTGGCCATGCAATGCTTAAGAATGAATGAAGTAGGATTTTCAGGAGGGGGGAAAAAAACAACAACAAAAACAACTCCCGGTACTTTGTAGCAAAGCTCCTCCGCTCCAGGCCCCGGAGCTCAAAAGTCTCACCTTCCCAAATGCCCCGCGCCTCCCCCACCTCCGCTTTTGCCTTTAAGCCTTCATTAGTCTAAAAGTGTGCAGCTAATTGGCACCGACTTCCTTATCTGATCTTCGAGGCTCACAACATTGTGGAGGTGACAAGATGAGCCCATCAAACTTAATTTAGCTTCTTCGGATTGTTCAAACTCACACTTTTATTTGGATCCATTTTTTAACCTGCATTCTTTTGCTGCTGAAATGAATGAAGCGGTGACACTCATCGTGAGGAGAACAGCGGGCAATGATAACCCCCCCGCCCGATCTCACCCCTGCCCCACCCCCATACCCCGCTCGCCCACCGCTGGCACAAAACAAAAAAGAAGAAAATCCCCACACAATTTCCACATTGTTTGCCTCCTTTCACAAAGTTCCTTGAGGAGTCAGATGTCAGCAGTCCGGACCTTCGTCGGGGCTTCTGACGGTAAACTGGCGACCGCCGGGAAAAAGACGGGGCGCGATTCTATTGTAGCGAGCAGCGGCCCGTGTGGATTTAAAACGCCGGGGGGAAAGGCGGGGGTGCCTTTGAACGGTACCGGCTTATTACGGACGCCCACCGGAAAAGTGCGCACGCTCGATGCCTTGTTCATGACCGGAGGCATTTCTTTGCCTGACCAAACGGGGACGTCCAGCAACTGCGAGGGCAAGCTCTCAGTTTAACCACTTTCCTGGTATGTCAAAATTGAAACGGGCCTTTGCGCAGGTTTCCACACCAACATGCGCCTGTTGTCAGTGTCAGAAAGGATATCAATGCAATTTGAACGGGTTAGGAACCTTGTGTGGAGCTCACCTTTCAGGGGGGGAATGGGATCCAGCACGGGCAAGCGACGGGGGCCGGAGAGACCACCATGGAGGTCCAACGGTGGGCCAGCGTCTGTGGAGGCAGCTAGAGGACTGGACAGACGGCCCGCGTTAGCCGGTCCAGAATTCACCGCAACAGAGTTCGGAGAATGCGGTCCCTCGGGCTTAAAGCGGAGGGATTGCGGGTTCTGGATGGCGGATGACGCTGGAACGTGAGGTCGACTGGCAACAGCACGTCGGGCATCTTCACGCGCGCTTTCGTCAGCTCCAACGTGGCCAGACCCTTCAAAGACAGAACATGACGAAATAGCAAGAAAAGCGTTTTGCATTTGGATCATCTGTTGCTGACATTCTCGCTCCCGGTGCCCTGAGAGTGAGAACACTCGTTCCCCTGCTGGGCGAGCGAACAAAAGGTGGCAAAAGAGAAGGGGGGGGGAAAAAAAAAAAAAAAAAACAACAACAACGCTGCGCCAGGCCAGGAGCAGCTGTCGACATTCCCAACTTACAATAGCGAGCACGAGCAGGGCCACGCTCACGCAGGAAGCGGATCAGCTCCCAGCTGGGAAAAACAACCACAAAGAAAACCACAAAGCTAACAAATGCTAACACAGGCAACGGACTTGCTCAAATGTGCACTCCTTCCTCAGTGGGATGAGGCTGGCTTCAGAATGAAACTTACCCTGAAACGGGTGACAAAACACTCGCATAAACAAACCCCAAATAAAGTTCGGCTGTTCTAGTAGGCTTGTCACGACATGACATTTTCCTTGAACCTTCTCGAAGACCCCAGCTCAAGCTGATGCCCCTGCACATTTCTCCCAGACCCAAATCAAGTTCAGCTGCTCTCACAGGCTTTTCATGACATTTTTTTCCCCCTGCTTTCGTGGCCAAGCCTGAATGTTTTGTGCGAACACTGCCCGCTATTTTGAACTGTTCACGATTGCTTCCACAACTGATGCACAACAATTCAAACTGCGGGGCACCATTTGAATCCTTCTTCCTGGCCAAATTGTCCATTTTTCCTTTTCAAGCCTCCAGCACAAACATGAACTCCTTGTGGCGCCACCCCCTTTCCCTTTGGCCTTTCTCTCCTTGGCCCTTTTGCACACCCCAATTCTTTTCACCGCTCTCTCTTTCTTGGCGGACCACTGATTAGACGTGTGTGTGTGTGTGTGTGTGTGTGTGTGTGTGTGTGTGTGTGTGTGTGTGTGTGAGATGGAGGGTGGGGGGGCGGTGCCGGACAATCTCCTCTTGTTTTCTTCGCCAAGAGGAGTCAGCGCAGAGGATAAAGAGAGCACATTGCTGCACTTGTGGCCCCTTACAATGCGCCGCCATTCCCATCTGTTGGGTCCGAGCGTGCGCGTGTGAATGACATGTGTCGGGGCGTACGAGCCACGCCGGCTTCCTTCGGGGCAATTGTGAGCGGGCCTGGCGCCATATGGCGGAATAATGACTTTTTAGGCCGCTCGTGCTGAGGTGCGCGGGGCCCCCTTGCGCGCCCACTTGCCCGTCCTCGGAGGTGAAGGCTGGACGACATGCCTTCACATCAAAAATGAGCCGCCGAGCTACCCGAAGCCTGTTAGTATTCTGTCCATCGAGAGGGCAGCGGTGTTTGCACTGAAGTAAACGGAGCAACATACTGCACCGTTTCATCACCGAGTGACCCAAATTCACTTGTCAATTCAGCCTTACCCGGCGGGCGGCGCTTGGCGCGGACGGCGGCTGCGGGCGGTGGGGCTAGGAGCTCAGGAAACATGGAGGTCTAAGTTTTGCAGTCCGACTTCATGTCAGACAGGAAGCGAGGACAAAGTGCGGAGGGACGCTGGAGACACATGTGGGCCTGGAGAGAAACAGAACAATTTACGACATATTTCAATGTGACATGCAGAAAGTAAAAGATTTATTCCTCCCTATGTGCCTTTTAATTCAAGTTTGCTTTTTGGGGGGGAAAGTATGTACTGTATTTATGTAAATGTATATTTCTTTTGAGTTTTAGTTGTTACATGATATACATTCTCGATTTAATTCATGTTTTTTTTTTTTACTTCGTTGACTGGATTAGTTTATTTTGCACATTTTTTAAGCCACAAATATATCAAATATGACCTAATTTCTCATGTTTCCACTGCATGTTGACTGTGTTTAAATATCAATTAGGGATCTCTGTCCCCCCCGTGTGGCCAACCCACCCAATACAAGTTTTGTTGAGCCCCACAGTAAATAAGATGGCCCCAAAAAGGTGAACAAGCAGCCAACGGTGACCTTTCCAGAGCAAACAAGAATAAAGGTCCGCGTGTTTGTCTTGGATTTAGGCGAGTGAGGCAGCATTCAAGCAGACATGCATGAGTGTGATGGAGGGATGGATGGAAAGAGGGGCGTGGGGTTGGCGTGTGCGTGTGTGTGTGTGTGTGCGTGAGGAAGGGGGCAGGGGGGTTTCGGTGTCTGAGCCTCACACAGGGAGGATCAGCTTGGAAATCTCAAGCTCTCAGATGTGCGGCTTTAAAGATTTGCATTCTTGTGATGTCCCTGAATGGGGCACAAGAACAAGACGCAGCCCCCCGCGCCGCTGCCAGTCACCCCCCACACACACCTCAATACCTGCCACTTAGGACCCTCAAAAGAGCCGGGGAGGGGGGCAGGTGTAGAAATGTCACGCGACAACCCAAAGCAGCTGTGTGTCAATGCCAACTTTTTCTTTGTAAAACTCCTATTAAAGGCGATTAGCCCAACCTATTTTTTCCCCATGATTTGAGTTGTTTTTCTGTAGGTTTTGATTTTGAGGAAACCGCCATCAAATTGACTTCCTCCAACAAGTGAATGTGTCATTGAAGCGTTCTCAAAAGGATGGCGGCAATGCCCCGGCCCAGGAAACTCGGCGACCTCCTGGCGTCCTGCAACCCACGCGCGCCATCCCCGCCGCCTCAGCTTAATGTCATTAGAGGCCATCTTGTGCCAGCGCCGCCACGCCGGACAAGCCCACGCAGGAAGGGCGTCTGTGTCGTTTGGCCCACAGATGGACGCCGGGCCACCTCCAACGCCAGCGTCCATGAGCCGACGCAGACGTCCTTCATTAGCCGGCAAAGACACAAGCGTGTCTATGTCCACGCACACACGCACGTCTTGGCAAGAAAGCAGATTTCGGCCCTAACAAGGTTAAAGCCCCAAAAAGTGACTTTTTACATCAGGGAGATTTGTGTTTCTGCGGGGTGTAATTAGCTTTGCTGCAGGGTTGGGGGGGTCTGCAGCACTAGATGAAGTTTAAGGGGCTGCGGGGCGAGAGGAAGGGCGCGTGAGCAGGCGGTGAGGGGCCGACACTGGGCCGCATTGTGGCGAGGACGCAAATGTGATTATGGGCCGCTGTCAGAAGCCAGGCTCGCATACGGCTTAGCCTGCCAAGTAGCAGAAACTTTGGACTTTCTGCCTTGAGACAATGAGATCACTTTGCGGGAGACCCCTGCCAGACCCCCTGCCATGCCCAAACCCCAAAACACAACACAGTCACAGATTGAATCACTTTTTTTTTAAGCTTTTTCAATTCTATTGTTATTAAAGTAATTTTTTGGTGAAAGGCAAATAAATATATTTGTCTCATTTAGTATGCCATCATGTTTATTTGTATTTGCAAACATTCTGAATCGATCTTGAGACATTTTGAGATTGACTTATTCTTCTCATCTGTAATCTTTCCAGACAGTCAGCAAAATGACATTTGTTAATTTGTGGAATTGTACTCAAATTCCATTTTATTTGAACATATGTATGTTGATACATTATTATGCGTAATGTGCGCTGAAAAGAATACTGCACATCTAATTAGGAACTTTAAGAATATTTTTTAAATGTGACATTCTTGTGTTTTTTTTTTTTGAAGTTGAAACTGCAACCCTGAACTTTTGGTTGTGTGATGGGACTAAGAGAGCTGTCGTTCAAATGACTACGAGGACCAAGGACTAAAAGTTCCTTTACGTGGACGGTATTCGAGCTAAGTCTGTTCCATTTTCACATTCCGAGTGCCATTTTTGCCGCCATCTTGTCAGCTCGCTTGGGCACCTGTGCATTCTGACGCGTGGCCCGGGCGACAAAAGCGGCAGGCCGGTCAAAGTGCCCATTTATTCCACAGTGGCGGGCACGAGTGGCGAAGACGCTCTCGTATGCAAATGAGGTCGCCGCGGGCCATTTACTTGTTTGTTTAGCCGGAGGCCGAGCCGAGACGTCTGCGGTCGCCACGGCGACCCTAAATGGCGCTCGCGCGCAACAAAAGAGCGACAAGTGGGAGGATTCGCTTAATACGCTGATCATACTGTAGCACTCGCACAGCCAATATATAAGCTTGCGGCTTGAACCTTTCTCCGGCAACTTTTTTGGGGGGCTTTTAAATATTCTTCAAAATTCTATACAAATCTGTGTGCAATGCGCGAGTGTATGATGACTCACAGTACGGCACGAGACGGGCCTTTCCCACAAGATGGCCTTGCTGACAAAAGACACAAAGACGGGTCTCTGTAGCAAACAGAAAAACAGACACGTTGACGTTGATGGTTCTGATTGCAAGTCGCAGCAGAAGACCAGTGACGAAGGCTAAGACCCCCCTCACTGAGGAGTACAGTAATAAGTCCTCTGTCTTGATTAGCGCCACCACTTGATGGAGTCTGCTCTCCCACGCAGCAGACGCTCCATCTGCTCCTCCAGCTCTCGAACCGGGCGGGCCAGCGGCCCGGCCGGGAGTCCGCCGCTGCAACCACGAGGGCGTCGAGTCATCCATCACGGCTGATGTCCGTCGAGGCCCGAGCACGCTGCCTCACCCGGCTCCCTCCGCCACAGGATTCTTTGACGGGGTGTCACCTCAGAGCAGAGTGGGGGGATGCGAGCAGGACAATGGCATCAGGGTACTGACCGCGCTCCCCCCTGACCGGAAGGCAGGGGGCAGCGCTGCGATTACATGCAAGTGTATTATTCAATGCAAGTAGTGTATTTAAAAATGGACTGCACCAGACTCAGACGAATACGTCATCAGGCCTGCGTCTCTTCCATTTCGTTGCACCCTGCGGTACAAAGACAATAATGCTATTCTGATTCGAAATCTCAAAATGAACATAGGTGTGGTCATATCATGGACGGCAACGGGCGTGTGGCAGTTGCGCCTTTGTGTCCATCGATCCGTTCAACGCTCTGTGGCAGATCCACCTCCAGGTACTTCCTGCCCACGTGACCCACGTGAAGCAGGAGGCCCGATCGAATTACCAATTTGGAGCTCATCGCCAAAACGCCGGCTGCTCTTTGACTCCATCTGCTCGGCCTCCTCCGGGGAGCCTCGCTTTCCACTTGGGGATGTTTTATTAATTTGCCTGATTACCTCAACGGCCTGCCACCAGGGCCCATTAATAGGCATTTCATCAAGGTTTGATTAGCGAACGCTGGGAGACAAAGCCAGCAGTCGGCCCTGTTCCCCCTGGGGGGTTCGGACGCATGCAAACGCCGCAGGTCATCGTGCTTTGACATGTCCGCTTTGGCGGAAATTACAGCCTCAAGGTCTTTTGGATGCAACCCCACGAGCTCGGCACAACTATCTTTGGCCTGTTTGGACAATTTTCCAATCCAGCCATTTTCCTAAACCATTGTTATAATCCTTTCACACATAGGCAGATAATAAAACAATAGTCACAGGCAAATATTCCTCTGTGAAGAACAAAGAATATTCAGTTGGCTTCCTGAGGAGATCTCCATTCAGTCTAGCCACCTGTCTGAATTTTACTGCCCTCAAATGGAAAAGTGACGCAAAATGAGAGTAATCGAAGCGTTTTGCGTTTTACGCATTTTGTTCTCTTACCACCGTATTTCAGAATGGTTTCAATTCATTTCCGGATGCTCTTTATGTGTCACACTGGCAAAATTGGGCCCAGTAGGGTGAAGACAACAGACCTCAGGAGTTGGGAGAAGAAAAAAACAAAAGGGGTGGGGGGTGAACCAGGACCTCCACCACAGAAAAGGAGGACAACCACCTCAGCATGAGAGAGGTCAGCCACCATCAAGCGCGAAGGTGAGCCTCCTACCATTCCTCGGCAAAAAAACATTCAGGCACCGGGTGTTGCGCTGTGGGCCAGTTGGGGTCTGGGTCCGGGTCAGGGCAGCTGCAAGGACTCTGTGACCCTGAAATGAGCTCCGGGAGTCACTCAAGCCCCCTGCAGGCGCACCAGAGCTCCTTCTCGGCTTCAAAATCTGCCAGCCGGGGGGAGGGGGTGGCAGCGTGTAATCAATACGCTGACTATCGACGCAGGCGTCATTTTCGGGGGATCTCCGAGGGGGAACGTCGCCACAAAAGCCGAGCTGACAAAGAATCAGGCCGGTGGCGGACCAGTGGATAACCTACTTAACATTCATTAGTGTCACAGAGGAGCGCAAACAGCCCGCTCCAATCTGAGCGATGGGCTCTCCACCCGGCATGGGGTTGCATTCAGCGAGTTGACAGAGAATTGATCAGCAAAAGTTGAATGGTGGCTACGGGATAATTCTTACTTGTTGAACACCTTTCATCCAACCATGGTGATGCTGCGGTGCTGGTCTTTGGGTTCTGGCTTTTGCTTGGCAAGTTTTCTTTGCCATCCGATCCAACCAAGGTGACTGGGGTACAGGTAAAAAAAAAAAAAAAAAAAACGCTTAGGCAAGGTGCCTCAATGCGATCTTGAACTCACTGTTAGCATCGGTTAGTCCCCTTTGGATCAATGCTGAAACATCAATAAACATTAACATCAACCTTTTCTTAGTATTTGACGACATCCAGCCTGTTTGCGCTCATTGGCAAGAATATAATGAGGTGAATGTAAACCAGGCTTTTCCACGCCAGAGGTGAGAGGTGACGGGACAAAGCAGGGGTCAGGATGTGTCTGCCCTACAATAGCACAAATGTCCCTGCTCTTAATTACATTAAGGTCATATAGTGGGGAGCTGTGTGCAAACAAGACAGCCTATCAAGCACGCAAATCAGAGGCTCAGTGGCGCTGTGTGTGTGTGTGTGTGTGTGTGTGTGTGTGCGCACGCAAAGCTTATTATGTAGAGTGCTTCTCAAAGCGGAGCTTCTTCATTTTGTGATGTGCAAACCAGCAAAATCCTGTTAAATGGCACACTGGTGTCATATTAACTGTGCCTGTGGACCAGTGAGGGGCCCGTTGCCACAGCAACCACACCAAACACCCGCGCCAGGGCCCTTCCTCTTTCTCCCTACACACACGCGCGCGCACACACACACACACACACACACACACACACACACACACACACACACACACACACACACACACACACACACATCTCAAGCTCTCTCTCACCTCTGCCGGACATTTGTAAACACTGGAGGAAAAATGTTTTATTTAACTTGCCAACATATTGTCAACATCTGAGAGCGCTTTGGGGGACTTGGGGGACGAGTGCTCGGTGAGGGGGCAGGGGTGCGGGGAGAACAGGCGCTGCAGTGCATTTTGGGTCATCAAGGAACCACAGTGACTGTTGCTAAGGCACGCAAAAAAATGTGGGCTTTTTTTTTTTTTTTTTTTTGTGGTCAGAATGTATTCAGAACAAGATACAGTATTTTATGCCTGGAATCCTGTTGACCCAAAACATGAATGATTTAGCCCTCTCCAAAAAGGTGAAACTTACTTTTTCAAGGGGATGGTTTTTGTTGAACTCCCGGTATCTGCAAAATAAACATAAATACAATTAAAATGAATGGCTGACAGATAAATAAATATAATGTCCTTGAAAAAAAATAAAATATAGATATATAGATAGTGGATTTAGTTTCTTGGTGTGGTCAAAGAGCATTGACAGCTATTCTTTTCCGAAAGACAAAGCAAGTCCAAAATAAACACATCATCACATCACACAAGAAAAGTCTGACGGTAGCATTACGAGGGCTTTCACGCCGCGGCACACCGGGCGCTGCCCTTTGGCGCCCGTACAATCACAGAGCACTGACCCGCGCCGGGCTCCGCGGGCGAGAGCCGAACTCCCCCGCGACCGCCCCCCGCGATGCACCGTTATTTCCTCATCTCATCAATCTGTCAACTAAGCCCTTTGACACGCCGCCGCCATTTATTTGGGCCTCTCTCAATATGGTTGCAGCTTTTTAAGATTAGTCACCTCACCCAAGAGGTCTGGACCCCCTGGCTGGTGCCACGGGACACCGGAAGGGGGCGCCTGGGTGAGAGGCGGGGGAGGATGGCGAATATAGTTGCTCGAAGCTGTGACAGCTATCAGGACATGGGACACATTCGTGAGGGCCTATAAGTATTGCCTTTTTTTGAAATCATTTTGATGCATCACTGATCATTACTGACTCAATGGCAACCTGCTAAATGGTGAAAAAAAAAATCTAATGAAAATTTTCAGTCAACCATCTGCTAACTGAATGTTTTTTTTTTTTTTTTTGTGGGTTCAAGAGTTGGAGATACGCTTTGCGGACTAAAGTATTGGGCCATTCCATTTCCAGGAGGTGAAAGGGAGAGAGAAAAAAAAAGGAAGAGATGGGGTTGTCCATTTGTTTTGATGATGGGATGGATGTGGAGGGGGGAGCTTCTGGGGGTCGTGTAGGGGGATGTACTCAACTCACTCCAAAAGAAACTATTCAATTTATTTTCAAGTAAGGATGAAAGGACGACTCCAAACTGTGTGTCGCCTATTCAGCGCTTAAAAAAAAAAAGAGAGCAAAAAAAGAGAGACAAGGCTGGGGAAGGGGGGTGGGCATGTATGGGGGGGAGTGCATAAATTTCATACACACAGCAGACAAAGTGATTGTGGCTCCTCCCCCTGCCCCGAAAAAACTTTTCTGTCCCCCTCCAGAAAACACTTTCCCTGCTGAATGGCCACCTATTAGTGACTCCATTATGGCCGCGGGGCTTTTCAATGGCTCCTCACTGTGAGTCTTTATCAGAGTCGGCCGTGAATACAGCCTGGCCCCACCCTCACCAAAGACCACGCCACCAATCAGCTCCCATCCCAAATCACACCTGCCATCATGAGCTCCCCTATGAAAACAAAACAAATAAATATGAATTGATGCGATGTAAGGGATTTTTTCCCCCTGATCAATCAGCGTGGGCAGGATCCCAAAAAAGTAAAAGCCCCAAATTTTGACCAATCTATGTCGATCGGTCTCTGGGACAATAACATACAGTTCATGTATGTGAAAGTTAATGCAATTTCCTCAACAACTTAAAAACCATTTCTCAGCCCAAATTGCAAAATTGTTAAACTGCGATATTCAAGTTATCATACTGGCAGAATCTGATTTTTAAAAATAAAACTTATTTCCAAGTCAATAAAATAGGTTTGTCATTCAGTCTCTGTGTGTCCCACGACAAAATGTCCTACGCCAAGTTAGCTGATCTCCATAATACCAGCACTCCACCCCACTGCACAGCGCCTGGCCGCATTGTTGCCGGATTATTCCAGAGTTAGTTGGAAGAAAGAGACTGTACTAAGGGGGAGCGGGAGGGGGGGGACTAATAAAAGTGGCGTCTTCTTTTTTTCCCAGTGAGAGGCCAAAAACACCTGCAAGAGAGCCTGATTGTTGATCTTGACTTTATCTGCTCTCCTAAATGCCGCAATGTACAGTAGGACACTGAATGCAGCACGTTCTATTCATCAGCGGCCCCTTTAAATAACCTGTCACGCTCTTTACAGCTGCACAAAAAGTACTTTTGGGGGCCTTTGAAAGAGCCCTGGCACAAAGCGCGCAGTGAGTAAATATCAAGTGGAGTGTTGATACTTTGACGGAGGCTCGGGGCGGACTTTATGATGAATTTGGACGCATTGTGGGCCGGCCGTGGCGCTCACCTCGGCAGGGAACCATCTGCTCGCTGTCAATGCATCACCTGCTCAGATCAGTGTCGCCACGGCAACAGGGGCTGCTGTGAATTAGAAGGGGGGGGGCGGGAATAGGACACCAGTGGTGGACGACTGTCGCCCTCTGGTGGCCAGTCTGGTCCAGAGGCGTACATGTTCTCATCTGAGCGACAATCAGTCATCAAGTCCTTGTTATAATAATGATGATGATGCTGACGTCTTTTGTGTTACAGGAAGCGGAAGCGATTTGCACTTGGAAAGCTGAGCAAACACACATCTGAGGACAGGAAATGAAACCTGCCCGACGAGTGAGGAGCCAGCTGTGCGTGCGTGTCTGTAGCCACGGACCCCTTCAGGTTCCAGGCCGTGGTCCGTCGCACACCTGAGCCATCATCTGCAGACGGCGTGTGACGGGGGAAGTGTTGAGTGACAGGTGAAAGTGAGCCGCTCGCCTGCAAGGGGTTACCACCTTTTGTGCGTGATCGGGGAGGCGGCGAGGGGCAGTGACCTCCCCTCATTGGGGTGGCTGGTACTCGTGGTCTTTGTCGGACTTCATCAACTCAATCTTATCTATATCTTGCTGTTGTTTGGGATGCTAACAAGATTAGCCAAGAAACACTAAGCATCTGCAGGGAGTACTTCCTGTTGACACTTGTCGCTCCAATTCCAGATTCGGAAGGAGGGAGGAGGCTGATCCTGGGAGACTTCCTGTCAGGGCCACGTGCGAGGAAATAAAAAGTCAATTATGCAAGGCATTGAGCGCGATTGTCGGCGTGCGGAAGGACTGTTGCCCATTCCCAGCAAGCCACGGTGGCGGCAGTTAAGAACCGGGGGTGGGGGGTGGAGGTGGGGGGTAGACTCCATTATGCCGAGTGAGAACAGCGCATGTGGCCGAGCGGCTCAAAGTTTCACTCTTTTCTCCGCGCCCCCTTCCAGTCTCCCCGTAACAATGATCAGTTGGCCGCCCCCCGCTAGGAGAGAACACGCCAACGACATTCAGGGGAGCAGTCCGTTAAATCATGGGAATCGCGAAAAACACAATTAGAAGCCCTAAAGCAATGTTACGCTCTGCCTCCCAGGACAATACTCAGGCCTTTTCTTGCAACCAAACACTGCACTGTACTGTGCACGAGTAGCGGCGGTTATCAGTTCGAAAAAGGGTGGCGACACCTGGTTTATCCAGTGCTTGACTGATGTTCCTGTTTTTCTTGTAAAATTGTACATTTGGTTCCAAACAATAAGGATATTTTGGCACGAAATAACATCATTTGGGTCATGACTGCCAGAAAAAAAAAAGTCAAATTGTCTTATCACAAAGCAAACACTGCCATCTTCAAACTTTTGCCATGTGTCCCCGTATAGACGAGCTCCACCGTGCTGTACAATAACACCAACTAGTGACCCCCCCCCCACACACACACACACACAGATCTGTACCTCCTATTGATCCATCCAAAAGGACACCTGTGCATCTCATGCTTAGTCCTCCACCGCCCTCTGGTGGCACCTGTGGACATAGCATCAGGGATCAATGGGGAAAAAATGAGTCACTCTGAACACAAAGCTGCTTATTTATCAAGGAAATGTGAAGGGATTAAAGGGGAGCACGTATGACAGCTGCGGGTCCAAGAGAGAGACACAATCGAGCTTTAGTCCGACTTCCCGCGATCCCTGCATGAATCTGATAAGCTAATGAGCAGTTTGTCCTCATTTAATCGATTCTGATCGGCTTCGGGGGAAAAATGGGCCGCATTGTCTCCCTTGGAGTTAGCACTAATCCGTAAAGATAACATTTTGCGGGCATTTTGCTGAGTAAATACGAATCAATTACGGGCATGCTGAACTCAAAATAGACCATGACCTGAGATGTTTTGCAGCCAACGCACAGAAATAGAACGGGAGTTGGAACTGACTAAAATACATTCCAAATGCACATGCAGAGGCCTCATGAATAAAAGGAATTGTGTTTTTATATTTATGACCAATTGCAAAATAAAACTTAAATAGTGTATTGTGTGTGTGTGTGTGTGTGTGTGTGTGTTTTTAAAGAAGTCAATTTACCAATTATTTCATAAGATGACAGAAACAACAAAAAAAATACATTGCATTTCATGCATTTTACAATGCCCCATGATTACGACAAAAGTTATTGGAATCTTGAACATGTAAATCAAAGGCAGGCCAACTTTTTGTCCTCAAAAACCACATTTTAAGTACCTTATTTATAATTCTATCATGACGTAAATATGAACTTGGTCAATGTTGTGTAAATGCTTGGTGAGTTTGAGCAGCCGAAATCAACAGTCAGCCTTGAAGCCCAAACGGAAGTTGGCATTTTTATGTCTCCTTGAGACTCCCGAGACCAACAAACGAGAATTGAAATTGCAGGTCATCACCATCATCACAAGCGCAAACAGCTGGGCCACATGGGCCCACCGCAGGTCTGTTTCACAAGCGGCGTCCCATCACATGCCAGCGCAGAGGGGTGTGTGTGTGCGCGCGCGAATGTGTGCGGAGTCACGTGACCCGATGTGTAATAAGAAGTGGCGGCCCCGCGCAATAGAATCCAGCAAAGGCAAACGCTACGCACACAAACACACGCGCGGCTCACCTGCACGCCAGAGAAGATGGACGCGGCTTACAAGAGGGTCAACGGGAACTCCGGTCAGGACGCCCAGCCCAATGAACAGGACAAAGTGGTAGGTCTGCAAATAGGAAAAACAGGTTTTGAATGTTAAACAAGGTCAAAATGCTGTCTTATGGGATGATGGGTGTTTCAGCAGGATGTTTAAAAAAAAGTCAGTCAAGGTCAAAGGAAATCATTCGAGTAGCTTCTATTTGTAGACGGCACACAGCAAAAAAAAAAAAACTTCAATCATTGATGTCAATATTTTGTGTTTCTGACAAGCCCTTCATACTTGTGCTGCATGAGGTCCACCAACCAGGATAAAATTGTGCAACTCTAGTACTATTTTCAAGTGTATCAAACGTGCCTTTCTGTGATAGAATTTGTGTTTTTATTTATTTATTTGTTTTGACTGTTTTACTGTATAAGTCTGTGACAAATGCATCACACCTGTGTTGCATGTTGTCCACCAGTCGGAATTGCTCGGCATTGCGCAATTCCGCCACTGTGGAGTCAAGTTCCCCAACTGGGATTGTGGAATCTTGCCCAGCAATCCTGGTTGGTGGATTGCATACAACACAGGTGTGAAGCAATTTTCACAAGGAAATGCCACCTTTGTTCATTTCCTGTCAAACAACAATACAAACGATCCATTTGTCTTCATGTTTTGTTGGGGAAGATAAATTAATTATGTCCAATGCAGCCGTCCGTCTGTACGGAAATAGAAGCTGTTATGATTCATATTGTTATTTGTTTTTCCAAACACTGCTGTTATTATTCTGAACTCGAATGGCCGTGAACGGGTATTTGGCCTTGAATATTCCGGGGACAATGGCCGGAATGTCCGCGGATCCTCTGTGGCAAAACAGCCGATGAAATCAGACAATGAGCTCGTGCTTTGACTCACAGAAAAAACGTTTGGGGTTCCGTCGGTTTTTCCTTTGGTTCTTCAGGGGGCGTCCGTCGGATTCCCCGGCTTCTCCCCAAACATAAATGCAGATGCCAGTTTGGGTCAGCAGGAAAAAAAAAATAATAATAAATTGTTGTTGTTTTGGTCGTTAGAAGCGGCGCGGCTCCATGTACCTGGAGGAGGAGACAAGCAAGAAGAACGAAGTGGTCTCCTGCATCTTCTCATTGAAGGAGGAGGTGGGCGCCTTGGCCCGAGCGCTCAGACTCTTTGAGGTATATTCCTCTGTACCACTCGAGGGACCAGTGTGGGGGGAAAAAAAGCGACTTTATTGCCTGTAAGGAAACAGACAACACGGGACAAGAAAGAAGCTGACAACTGGGCTCAAGTGTGGAGCGCAACCCAAAGTATTGATGAATTTAATAAGAGATCAGCAAATTTACTGGTTGCATATGCAAGTAGATGAACACCCCTTATTTGCGTGACAATTTAGAGGCTGTCTGGAGTCCTGCAAAGATTTTTTCTTCTTTGCGCTAAAATTGACTGAAACTGAAATTCTAATTTCTGTTAAAAAACAAAAAAGAATTTTGAACTGTAAGGCCTATGGAGGTAAATTCCTTCCTAATTATCATCAGGGAATGCGGCAGCTGACTTGGTTGCTGTTTTCATGTGATTTGGCAGAGGCATTCAAGACCAAAAGACAAATTGTCCCGACTTCAGTGAGCATGTGAACTAGCCCAAGAAAAAGAAAAAAAACAACAAAAAAAAAAAAACAAAAACTGTAGTAAAGGCCTCAAAATGTGGATCCCGGCTTGTTTTTTGTGAAGCGACCTTTTCCAAGTGGCCCCATGACTAAACAAACGGCGCTTATCTCGCATCGATCCACTGAGTTACACGGCCAGGCTGAAGGTGACTCCAAAACGTTGCTGCTTCAAGTTGTCCATTGTGACTCGAGAGCACTGCGCCTGAGATTACGTTGCCATAATACATACAGTACAGTACTGACTGACTCCGCTATAAAGAAAGAAAGAAAGAAAGAAAGAAAGAAAGAAAGAAAGAAAGAAAGAAAAAAAAAGAAAAAAAGAAGCAGTTTGATGAATTTATGGTTAATTTTCCTGTTTAAAAAAAAAAAATTACGAATAAAACCTCTGCCTTGTTTTTGTTGAACACTTAGAGGCCTACTAGTGACTGTATTTCAATGCTGGTCATTATGGTGGTACGTGAAAAGCCAAGGATCTTATTGAGGTGGCACCTGGTGTAAAAAGTTTGAGAACCAGAAAGTGCATCGTAAACTATGAGTACGACTTATTAATGCTCTGTCATTGTTACAGCGTAAAACGCTGTATTAACCTGTGCTCAGAAAGTCAACTACGCCAACATGACGATGCCTGACCCCGTTTTATTTATTGATTTGCAGAGACTGCGTACGTGACTTTTTGCTCGAATCAACATGGATTGGCAGCACTTCTATTATTTAATCATCAGCGGTGTCATGGTTACGTACGTAGAAGTGGGCCTCGTACTTACCAAAAAATAAAAGGCTAAAACAACATTAAGGAGTCAACAGTTAAAATTGTTAAATATGCCCGCCCCCCCCCGTTGTGTTTATTGCATTTTGTTTTTTTGGGGGAGGGGGTTTATATACGTAGGGTGGAGGGGCGGTAGTTGTTAAATGGAAACACAAGATCCTCTTTGGACCTATGAGCTCAGGCTCTCCCAATCCTCCCCCTGAGCCTCCTCTCACCTCCTCCACAAAACAGCCCAAGTGCCCCACGACTTCGTCCGCACGAATGGTTTGATGAGGCCTTCAACTCCATCTCAAAAATATCTAAAGGCGGCTCAAAATCCACGCGTACGACTGTGTCACCGTTTCATCCCCAAATTAAGGGGATGAAAATCAATTTAAAAGAACCGAGTCTGAAAATTCTCAAGCGCTCGCCGCTCATGTGAGCCACCGTGTTTGCGATCTTTCGTGTTTCCCATGCGGCGTGTTTCATATGGCATCATTTATGGTCCGTTTCTGCATAGTTGGGGCTCTTTGTGGCTTTTAATGAAGAACCGCTGTGGAATGACGATACAATGTACACGTTCAGCACATTCACAAATCCACCGATTGCCCATGTGCAGTTGTTTGGAAATCTCACTTGCAAAGACTTCACAATTCTCCTCCTTTGATTTTCACGAGGTACGGCTTGGCCCGATGAGGGCGGTCAAAGCTAGCGGGGCCGGGCCAAAGTTCAGAGATGTTCTCCAACCTGACGCGGCACTGACTTCAAATTTATACATCCAAATTCAAGTCAGACACGTTCAAGGGGACGAGCGAGACTGACTGCGCCCGTCCTCTGGCATGGACGAGCATTTCAGGAGCGTCACATTCTTCTGGGGACTTGGGAGAGATGCCGGCGCGCATGGCTTTCAGGAAGATGCGATCAAGACAATCTGAACCAGATGTGGCAATGACGGGAGGCCCCCTCCCGTTCCAATTGGCCTATCGCAAAAGAGAGCACCACATACACCCTCTCCCATATGCTGCGTATACCACGCAAAGTTGCCTTCCAGCGGCTCCCAAACATCCGCACCAGTCATATTTGTTTCATGACTTCATGTTTTCTCGGGTACATGGAAAATCTCCGCAAATTGGCTCAATGTGTGCGCAGACTAAGAATTTTGAGGGAGGATAAGCAGCGACCATACAGATTTGAGACCCCGTCATCAACTTCAGGACCTCACATTCGCAAAATTACAAATCATTTCTCCGAACTGAAAGTGCAAAAAAAAAAAAAAAAACAAAGAAAGAAACTGTTGTTTTTCCAGAAGTGAATGCAAATCAACAGTAAAAAAAAGTTTCTCCAAAGGCTTGTTTTTTGTTTTTTACAATTTTGTTTGTTGTGTCTGTGGACTTTTTAACCCCTCTGGGAAAAATGAATGCGAGGATAAAATGTTTACTTTAACAATAATTGGCGCCTCCAGTTTGGAAAACCACTTTGTAAATTTTCCTCTTAGTGTGTGTTGTGGGCCAAACTGACTCGATCTCGAGTTTAAGAAACGTAGAAAAATCTGTTTTAAAAATATATCGATATCTGGGGATTGAACCGCTCTCGCTTTATTCTTTTTCCCCGTCAAACACCGGCCAATCAATACAAAAGTGAGAGACGTAAGCGAGCTAAGGTTCCACTGACACAGAGTTCAAGTCCAAGAAGAGGAACCTGACGGAGGGGGGGGTTATGAGGGTACAACACCGCTACCTTGTGCTCAAACGAGGGAAGTGCAACGAGGCACTCGAACAAGCAAGCGTACTCACCTCAATCTTCTTATCCCGGTGCCGTTTTTCAGGAGAAAGGCATCAACCTGACGCACATTGAGTCCCGGCCGTCGCGCGTCAGCCAGGAGCAGTACGAGTTCTTCATCAGCGTGGACTCCAACTGCTCGCCGGCCCTGGACGATGTCATCGAATGCCTGCGCACGCAGATCAGTGGCCAGGTGCACGAGCTGTCACGCAACAAACAGAAGGACACTGGTGAGAGCCTTGAAAAGTATTCCGCAGACGAATAAGCATCTTCATTCGCGGAGGGAGAAACGCAGGTTGCCAAGGTTGGAAAAGCTGGGATTTGGACAGAGGTTTGATAGCCAGTGGCGTGCGGTTGCACAGAAATTACGGTGGGCCACAGTGGCCTCTAGAGGAAGTAAAAGGGCCGCCGCCAACAAGCCGGTCTGTTCTGTTTAGGAGCCGTGTTGTGGCGCTTCCACTCACTCATGGACAGCCATCGTCGCCGGCGAGACGGGTGGCTCGCCACCCCGGCGCTGATCCCTTTATTAGTTGTTTCCAGAATGACATTAGTTTTGCTCCTCACTACCAACAGGCCTGGCGGGAACAGGGGCGCTCTGTGTGCCTCCCGGGCGGGTCCAAACTCGGGCCATAGGGAACACGGCGAGGTTAGAGCAGGCCAAGACTGACAGGCCCTGCCGGGATGCGGCCGCTGTGCCGGCCGGGGTCAAGTGGACGAGACGATACTCATGGGCCCGTTGCGAGGGAAGTTTGTTAGAGCCTCATTGTCTCCGCGCAGCCTCGGGCCTTTGGACCACATGGCACGAATGGAAATTCATGAGTGTCTTTGAGGGTCATAAATCACAAGCACAACAAGCAGATGGCTTGTGTGCACTGCTCTGCCGAGTGTCAACATGCCAAGACACCGTGACGTCCAACGGGCCAAAAGGCGCGCCTGCATCATCAATATCTATTTGCGCCGCTCCAGCCACACAATGGTTGACCGACAGCTATTATGACCAGTTACCAGTCAGAAAAAACATGGCAGCAATCGAAAAATTTTTCCAGATTAGATTTTTGGGACTTTTTTTTTTTTTGGCGGGTTCACCCATAACAGACATGCCTGTCAAATTTCATGCTCGCAACAGAAATTGGGGAAAGAAAGGGGAAATCCCTCAAAATGGCAATTTACAACGGCCTGAGAAAGAGGAGGAACCAGAATCACAAACGTATCGCCCTCATTCATTGACTTAAAAACTCTACCCTGCAGTGCCATGGTTCCCCAACGACATTCAGGACTTGGACCGCTTTGCCAACCAGATCCTCAGCTATGGCTCGGAGCTGGATGCCGATCACCCGGTAAAGTTGTGACTCATTTGTGACACGCGTCCGTCTGTCTTCCGACGCCCACGCGGCCAATGAAAGACGCGGCCTGCGAGAGATGACAGGCCGCCTATTCTCATGGAAACGCACAAATTGATGTCACTGCTTTCATTGGGGCCCCTATAATTATAGATAATTGCTCCCTTTTGCCACCATCATTAAAGCGAAATATATTCATCATAAAGCTGAAAACCCCTCTACAAAGGCTTCATCTGAATGCACATTTGCATGCTCTCATTGGGGACCGAGCGCGTGATGCCGTCAAAGGACGCAGGGTTTCGTTTGGCCATCATTTGGGAGATCTAACACGATTTCCCCTTTTGTTTGTGTGTGTGTGTCTGCTCACCAGGGCTTCACAGATCCAGTGTACCGCAGTCGCAGGAAGGAGTTCGCCGACATCGCCTACAACTACAGACAGTAATTGAACACTCAACCGTTTGGAATTACATCAAAAACTCTTACCGTTAGCTTCCACACTTTATGTGGCAAAGTAACACACAACTGAAATCGGTGAAAATCATTGACAACCCCCTGCCTTGCATATTCCCGATTCAGAAATCACTTGGTTTCAGCGGTCGATGGGCTCTTTGTACCTCCCTTGCGTAATTGTCTTTCTGAAAGTACTTTTTACTGATTGGCAATTGGCCGTTCAGGTGCTTCAAGTTTGCGTCTTCTTCCTCTCAGTGGCCAGCCCATCCCTCGGGTGGAGTACACAGAGGACGAAAAGGCCACATGGGGCACCGTATTCAAGGAGCTCAAGACCCTGTACCCAACTCACGCCTGCCGTGAGCACAACCGAGTCTTCCCGCTGCTGGAAAAATATTGCGGCTACAGGCAGGACAACATCCCACAGCTGGAGGATGTGTCCCGCTTCTTGCAGTGTGAGTTGCATCTTCTTGGTCGTTCCTTCAGCTGTTGTTTTTGACGCACCTCCATCCCTCCGCAGCCTGTACTGGTTTTCGGCTTCGCCCGGTTGCCGGCTTGCTTTCCTCCCGGGACTTCCTCGCCGGCCTCGCCTTCCGCGTCTTCCATTCCACGCAGTACATCCGCCATGGCTCCAAGCCCACCTACACACCTGAGCCGTAAGTGTGGGCCGTAGAGTCCAATTGGACGACACAAGTTGTCACGAAGGATTCAGGGTTGGTTTTTTTTCTGTTCCAGTGATATCTGCCATGAGCTCCTGGGGCATGTCCCGCTCTTTGCTGATTCGGGTTTCGCCCAGTTCTCCCAGGTAAAAAAAAAGGCCCTGGGGCAGGCTCCCTCCTCTCTGAATCTTAATACCCCACCAAAAACCTAAAGCAGGGATGTCAAATTCATTTTTCTTGCAGGCAATGTCAAAAAAATGTAGGGGTTCAAATCTTGCCCCCACACCCTTGGCCTGGCGTCTCAATGGCTTCTCTTCTTTATTCTTCCAAACAGGAGATCGGTCTGGCTTCTCTCGGCGCCCCGGACGAATACATTGAGAAACTTGCGACGGTGGGTTCCCGCATCAAACTTAACATTCTCAATCGAGTAGGGGTTAACCGTCCTTCGCTTGTGCATCAGGTCTACTGGTTCACCGTGGAGTTTGGCTTGTGCAAGCAGGGCTCCGACACGAGAGCATTTGGAGCGGGATTGTTGTCGTCGTTCGGCGAGCTGCAGGTGGGTTGGTTTCTGCGCTCAGGCAGTGGGTCAGTGGTCCGTTTGGGTTAAATGTGTCACTGACTTCGCCTGGCCAGCGGGGAGCGGGAATGTGGTTCAGTAGCTCGGCGGGTGGGCCGAAAGGGCGTCTACGGTGGTCACACGTTGCATCAGCAGAGGATGTGTGCTCAGACGAGTCCAAGGGGGGGAAAAAGCCAGAGGCCGTAATCGTACTCCACTTCCTGTTTTCAACAGGAATCACAAGGCTCATTGACTGTCTGAGCAGCCGCCGAATGTGTCATTGCTTGTCTTGCAGTACTGCCTGACCGACAAACCCAAACTACTTCCCTTTGACCCCGAGAAGACCAGTGTCCAGAAATACCCAATCACAGAGTACCAGCCGGTCTACTTTGTCGCCGAGAGCTTTGAGGATGCCAAAGACAGAGTCAGGTATGTATGTTGAACTCCAATCCACGATTTCACCCGACAGTCGACTATTCCTACACTTGAGCAAGCGGCGTACGATCGACAGTCACCGAGCCTGTGTGGGCCTTACAGGAAGTTTGCCGGCACCATTCCTCGGCCCTTCTCTGTGCGCTACAACCCGTACACCCAGAGCGTGGAGGTGCTGGACAACACCCAGCAGCTCAGCAATCTGGCCAACAGCATCAAGAGCAAGTTCCCATCCTGGACCATCAAGCCTTTATTTTGATATGCTGCTTCCTAACGTGCTTTTCTTCTGTTGGTTTCAGGTGAAATGGGGAAATTATGCGAAGCCCTGAAGAAATTGGAGTGACATCATGACTGACTGGCCCGAAACTTATTATACTCCCCTATTAGCTTTTTTTGTATTAAAACACATGTCAATATAAACGGGATATAAGAAAGAATATTATTTGCCTCTTACTTTAGCAAATCGTGTGTAACCTCTAGATGTCGCTATGCTCTAAATGTGTTATTCCATTAATACTGTATTGTAATATATACAGATATACTAATATGTGATTTTACATATAATACAAAATTTGCATCATTTTAATTCAATCCCCCCCCCCCACTTTTGTGCATGGAACTAATAAACTGAGGATATTAATACTGTGGTCTCAATTGTCCCATTTTAACAAAACAGTAGGCAGCCGTGTTGCCCCTGTGCTATATTCAACCAGCGAGGCTAAAAATACACAGCCTTTTTTCCTCACCATGAATTATTTTTCGTAACATTGATGCAACCCGTGAAGAAGACCTGTTTCGGTTGAATGGCTATCACACTGTGATGTTCAGTAACAAGCGGCTGCTCAATGACTCGCTTTTGGCTCTGTGACGCAAAAAAAAAAAAAACAGGAGTACCCACTCATCTGCATTCAGCCCACGGATGAGATGCTATTTAAATGGCTCGGGCTCACACCGGAGCACATCTTGAGACCATGAAGACTGACAGCAACGCATGCCAGGTGGCATCCATCGGCGGCCGAAGGCAAAGTTTGATCGAGGATGCCCGGCGGGAGCGCAGTGCCGGAGGTCAGCCAGGGACCTCACGGGGGGTGGACGCGCAAGTTTTTGAGGAGAAGGAGGGCCGAGTGACCCTAAACGTGCTGTTCCACCTCAGCAACGAGAAGAATGGGGGGTTCTTCAAGACAGGCAAAATATTTGAGGTACTAAAAGTGAACTGCGAATATTCGGGGATTGCTTGGTACTATTTCAACAATGTGTGTTTGTCACCTTTGCAGACATTCGACGCCAAGCTCCTCCATGTCGAAAGCCGGCCGTGCAAAAGGTCCAAGAACAGCACGTCCGACTTGGAATTCTTCGTCAAGTGCGAGGTGCACAGCTCCGACCTCGAGGTCTTTGTCAACTCACTCAAGAGAGTGGTGGATAACGTTAGGTCCATCCCAGAGGAAAAAGGTGCGTGTTGCATCAGAGCGGGTCAGTGGGTTGGTCCATCCAGTTGGGGAAGAAGAAGGAAAACAAAGAAAGCTCAATTTGCTACTTTTATCTCCATCGCAGTCCCCTGGTTTCCTCGACAGATCAAGGAACTGGACAGATGCAACTTGTTGATCACCAAATTTGATCCGGAGATGGACAAGGACCATCCAGTGAGCGCCCAATAAAAGCTTGCGTCAGCTATGCGACGGAAAAGACAAGCGTGCACAAACAAGGTGTCACCTTTGTTGCAGGGCTACACAGACCCAGAATACAGAAAGCGCCGAGCCTTCATTTCAGAGCTGGCCTACAGATACAAACAGTGAGTGGAAAAGGAGAGCACCTCCTAAATGCCACTCGGTTGTTAATTCCTTTTGTCCGGTTTGTTGTAGGGGTGACCCGCTGCCCGAGGTGGAGTACACAGCAGAAGAAACAGCCACATGGTGAGAGAACACGCGCCTGTTGACGGCTGCAGAAAAGTGACGACACGTGACCTAAAACAAAGACTGTCTTCAAAAAGGAGGGAGGTATACAAGAAGCTGCGGAGCATTTACGCCAATCTGGCGTGCCGACAGTTCCTGGACGGCCTGCAGAAGCTGGAAAGCGAATGCGGCTATGGCGAGGAGCGCATCCCTCAGCTCAGAGACATTTCTGCCTTCCTCAAAGGTGAATAACATACACAGCCACTCACAACGGGAGGCGACGGATTAGTCGTAGCTGGCCGACGGTGCGCACCTATGTATTGATGAATAAATCCGTCAGAAGTTGGAGTGGAATCCTTGGTCATCCCGGATTCTTCACTGCAGCAATTGCAGACTTCCAACTAGCCGGAGGCCTTTTTCTGTTTTTAGCGCACAAAGAAAGGCGCACGATTGAACAGACACAATCCAAAATGTGCGAAGAAAGTCTTCAGAGAAGAGCGGATGTGCCAGATTGTCGTCACTGTTCACTTCGTATGGGTGTCAGCTAACACCTCCCAAAAATTACGAGATTAGTCAAGTGATGGGGGGCAGAGAAAAACGAGTTCTTCTTGAACCGGTCCCAAACACAGCTGCACAGTGCAAAGCTTTCGTCGCCTTTGAGATGAAAATGTGGTCCTCCCCAGAAAAAACGGGATTCCAGCTGCGTCCGGTTGCCGGCCTGCTGTCCGCCAGGGACTTCCTCGCCAGTTTGGCTTTCCGCGTGTTTCAGTGCACGCAGTATATCCGCCACGCGTCGGCGCCCATGCACTCTCCCGAGCCGTGAGTCCCGCCGGCTTCGTCCTGTCCACCCCCCGGATTGTTCCTTTTACTGATGTTTGACCTCCTCCCACAGGGACTGCAGCCACGAGCTGCTCGGTCACATCCCCATGCTGGCAGACAAAGAGTTCGCCCAGTTTTCCCAGGTAGGCGGCGCATCGTATTTGTTGGTTCTTTTGCTTGAAACGCCACTGACGGGTGTGGTCACTGACAGGAGATTGGATTGGCCTCGCTCGGAGCATCACAAGAAGACATTGAGAAATTATCTACGGTAAGAGATATTGCCCTTAACGGTGATCCTCGGATTGATGAAAATCTTCGGACGGAAACATTCCAAAGAGGCTTTTGGCTACTGGAGGAGGAGGAATCGTTTTGGTGTGAGATTTGAGCCGCACCTGGTGGCAAAATCTAATTGCTGCATCCGCTTTGCCTCTTCTTATCTAGCTTTACTGGTTCACTGTGGAGTTTGGCCTTTGCAAACAGAATGGGACGGTGAAAGCTTACGGCGCAGGACTTCTCTCATCCTATGGAGAACTCGTGGTGAGTATGCACAATATTCAGGAGTGCGCAAAATCCTTTCCGTTCCATGTGCCTTGACTCTCGCCGACCATTCCTCTAGTACGCCCTGTCCAACGAACCCGAGTACAAGGCCTTCGATCCCGAGGAGACCGCCGTGCAGCCCTACCAGGACCAAAGCTACCAGCCAGTTTACTATGTCTCGGAAAGCTTCGAGGATGCCAAGATGAAATTGCGGTATTTGCTTTGCGACCATTTTGCAGGACACACTTCGAATGCAACAATCACCCAACGGCTTCTGTTTCCGTGCACAGGAAGTACTCTACAACCATTCAGCGACCATTCGCCGTGCGCTATGAGCCCGTCACCTGCAGCGTGGACGTTCTGGATGAGCCCAGCAAGATCCAAACTGTCCTGTGCGAGACACGAGACCACCTGAAGATACTGCAGGGTGCCTTGGAGAAGCTCGGCTTCTCCTGAGAACAAGGGCAGACAAATCGACTGGAGATGGATGACATCCGTTCAAAACGAGAGTCGTAGTTTGCCGTTCACTTGTCTCAAATTGCTGTCTCTGGTACACATGGTATTACGAACAGAAATAAAGGTTTATTTTTCGCGACGGCGTCTCTTTTGCCGACATGTTTAGGGAAAAAGCCAGCAGGACCAGAGCACTACATAAGCAACACTTGCTCACAGGCCGTTTGTCTCCAAACTTGACAATTTCCATGTCGGGAAATTCTTGGAAGGCGTTGACTTGCATGTGTTGTTAAGCAGGGAGAATGAGCCCATTATGAATGATTTAAGTATCAAGTTGCGTCCGCCGGTCAAAGTCAGAGCCAACGGTGGGGCCTCGCGGGCCGACAGGGCCAGGTCAGCGGGACCTCACAGTCGACCAAGAGCTTCTCGCAGCCGCAGCGAGTGCTATTACTTTCATTTCCTCCGGAGACTGGAGACGGGCAGCTCTTTGAGCTTCCGACCGCGGCCCAGGTTTCTGATCTCCTCAGGCGACATCAGAGCAACGCCGATCGATAGTCATCACTCCACTAACAACACAGTCAGCTCCTCAGATCAGCCGCCTTTCTCCCAAACCTTCCAATAATTCCCATGGCCAATTGTTTTAAACCCTGAACTGGCCTCTGCGGGAAGCCCGGGAAGAAGAGAAGAGCGATTAGGGAGTGGCGAGCGCAGGCGAGGCCGACGTCAAACACGACCTCAATCCTTGCTTCCGAGGCTTTCAAAGCCACAAATCCCGGAGAAACCACGGCCAGGATGCGGGTCTGCCCGAGGGCCAAAGCGCAGCAGGTTTCCGCGGCAACGATTAGGAGATCCAGCGAGATTCTTGCGCTCAGCGCGGCTAGCCACAAATCCCAACAGGCTGTATCATCCTGACTCCGAGCAGAAGTGTTTGCATGGACATCCCGAGCCGGCTTGGCGTGGTTGCCTCCTTTGCAGATGGGAGCGCGGGTCGGTGGGTTCACTGAGTCCTGTGAAACGCGCGTGAAGTTCATGATTCCTTTCTCAACACTTTGAGCCTCGCAGTCAACAAATCCTCTTCGCACAAGTTCAGCGAAAGGACATACACTCACTGTGAGGATCCTGACTGACAACGCTAGGAATGAGTCAATGACAAACAATGAGTATCATAAATGCAGGTACATGAATATAAAGACTTACTATGCTGCATTCCCATGTGTGTTTGGCTGTAGCGGTTCCTCCTGCAAGGTCACTATATATATATATATATATATATATATATATATATATACAC